TCTTTAGACCGTATTGATTTATATGAACCTTCACATAATTGCTCTCTTCTATAAAGACCTTTCCTGCAGTATACAAAATTACATCTTTCTCAGTAAAGACAGGTGTAAGACAGGGATGTGTTATGTCATCTCTCCTCTTCAACCTTGTGATTGATTGGATACTAAAGAACACAGTAGGCAGGACATTAAGAGGCATACGATGGACTCCATTCACCATGCTTGAGGACCTTGATTTTGCAGATGATATAGCACTCCTATCACATAAACAAATACAAGAGAAACGTAACAGACTAAACTGCACAGCAGAAATGGTGGGACTGAGAATAAATATAAAGAAAACTAAGATCATGACAAACAGTCCAAACCAACAACCAGTGACCATAAGTAACCAATCACTTGAAAATGTAGAACATTTCACATATCTTGGCAGCGTGGTGTCCCTACTGGGAGGGACAGAGGAAGACATACAGTCACGTCTGAACAAAGCTAGAGCTGCTTTTGGAAGGAAGAGGCAAATCTGGAAATCCAACAATTACTGCAAAGGAAGAAAACTCCGACTCTACAAGAGCATCATTTTGCCAGTTCTTCTTTATGGAGCGGAATGCTGGAGAATTACCAAAAAGGATGCACACAAGCTGTCCACCTTCCACCACACATGTCTACGTAGAATTGTCAAAATTTTCTGGCCAGATACAATCTCAAACACTAAACTACTTCAAGCCACAAACCAAGAAACTTTAGACAGTATGATTACCAAGAGAAGATGGAAATGGCTTGGCCACGTTATGAGAAGGACTTCTGATATACCTGCCAATACAGCTCTCACATGGACACCAGAGGGAAAGAGAAAACAGGCGCCCAAAAACAACATGGAGACGAACGATGGAAAGTGACCTGAGTGCAGCATCTTTGACATGGAAAACTGCACTGAAGATTGCACAGGACAGGAAAGCATGGAAAGTCCTCTCTGAAACCTCGTGTGCCACTAGGCGAGAACTGATGATTCACATTGTTTACTTGCTCCAGGTCTGGTAGAGCCACAGCTGGACGAGGCCCAGTGCGGCTTCAGAGCAAACCGAAGTACTCAAGACCTTATCTTCACACTGAGACAGATGAGTGAAAAAGCCCTGGAATATAAGAGTGAGATTCACTTATGTTTTTTGGATCTGGAAAAGGCATTTGACAAGGTACCCTGGAACAAGCTCTGGGACTGCTTGGCAGGGAAAAACATCCCAGCACCCCTGATCAGTGCAATACAGAGTTTCTAAAAAAGTGCAGAAATTATGTAAGAACAGCAGACCAAAAGTCAGAAGAATTTAAGACCACCACCAGCGGTGTTAGACAAGGTGATTTTCTCTCACCTTACCTCTTCATTCTTATGATGGATGATGTCATACAAGACCTGTAAGGAGAAGACAAAGAAGTACTCTGTAGGTACTGGAAGATGAGACCAATCTGTATATCAGAGCTGGCTTTTGCAGACGATGTGGCCCTGATAGCTAAATCAGAGGCAACACCTTCAGTACAACTTACTTGTCTGGAAGGAAGAGCTTGAAAAGAAAGGGATGACCATCAGTGTCTCCAAAACTAAAACCATGGTGAATCTCAAGAGAGGAGAAGAAACACCAGATCATGATGGGTCAGTATGCGTTGTTGAGCAGGTTAACCAGTTCAAATACCTTGGAGTTGTATTAGACCAAAATGGGAGCATTAAGACTGAGCTGGCTACACGAAAAGCAGCTGCTGGGAGACTCTTCCAGGCCATAAACCGAGGGTTTCTTAGCAAAAGAGAAAAATTGGCAAGAGGGACGAAAATGGCTGTTTACCGCTCTACCTATGTACCAGTCCTGACCTATGGGTGTGAGTCATGGGCAATGACAACAGCTCACAGAAGCCAGCTGCAGGCCTCGGAAATGAGATACCTGAGAAAGGTGGTCCAAAGTGACAAGAAGGGACAAAAGTCCGCAATCAGACAATACGTCAAGATCTTGATACCCAGCCCTTACTAACCCGAGTGGATCAGTCACAGTTACGATGGTTTGGACATGTGTGCAGAATGGGAGAAAATCGGCCACCATGGCAAGCATGGGAGGCTAAGAACCAGGGAACCAGACCTCCGGGACGACCCAGGGTGCGCTGGGAAGACAACATCCGACAGTCCCTGACTGACAGAGGACTGGAATGGAACAAAGCCAGAAAGAAAACTGCTGATAGAGACGTCTGGCGATCTCTCTGGCAAACCTCTACACCCCAAGGTAGAAGAGGAGCGACTAAGTAAGTAAGTAAGTACTTGCTCCAGGAAGGCCCTCCCAACATCTAGCTTGTCATACATCAGTTCACCACCAAGTGGTGCAGAGCCAGCCAGTCTATCTACCTGCTCATAGGTAAAGCCACTGGAAGTAAAGGCGGCCATTGTGATGTTGACCACATCACCAAACAAGTGCCGATTGGTTTATATAATATAGATCTAGCACTCTATACAAGGACAGTGGTTCTGTAGATTAAGCCTGTATTTATGGAGTAGTAGGCTAAATGATTAACCGGCAGTGAATGCAATTCACAGCTATCGTTATATATTATTGCCAGCAGGGATGTCTAGAAGAAAAAAGTACTGGCACTCACCAAGTAATTAATTTTCCACACCTTTAAGGCGTATGGGGCTAGATTCATATTTTATAGACGAGTCGGTACTCGTTGGGTAATGTGCTTACATCACACTGACCGCTTTTACTTTCTGGGATTTTACCTGGTACATTTAAGGAAGAGTCTACGAGTCTACTACGAGCCAAAGTCAATTTCTCAAAGTCTAGCTCCGTTAGGACCTTGTGGTTAGCATGCCAGCTCATGAGCCGTTTGTACACCCCCCCCCCCCCCAATCAACTTTTACAGAAAAGCTTTGAATGCCAGTATTTGGGGAAAGGGGGGGGGAGCGGCGCTCCCACCAGTTGCTGTACAATTTATTTTTTCACAATGGAATGGCAACATTAAATGAGGGGTTGTCACTTTTGTCAAAATTAATCAGCAGCAAGCAACAAGCATGGGTTTCTTGGAGTGTACATAAAACATTCTGAACTCCCACCCCCAATCATTACATTTCCACTGCCACATTAGAATCTATCATTGTCATGTGGTTATACAGAACATATTGGTTGAAGAATGACTGGGATTTTAAGTTAAACATTTGTTCACTCGGCTGTAAATTCATGCAAACTATGGTTGTTCGTCCACTTCTGGACTTGTTTTTGTACATCCTGTTTTACTTGTATGGCTTAGTCTTAGTCATGGTTTCAACTTTACTGTTATCGGGTTTCCCATATTTGCTCCGTTCCTGTGCCAGTGCAAATCACATGAAATGTCCCTCACCATCTCATCTGAAAAACTTGTGGACAAACAGTTCTGGCACAATCCAGAAATCTGCGCTGGCTAGAGATGCCAAAGCCAACAGTTGCCACCAGAAATGCAGTTTGTCAATTGAAGTAGTCAGGCTCAATATGTTGGCCATTATATACGCCCAGATTTATGGTATCTATCATGAAATCAAAGCCGAAGGGTTGCGATATCTATAGTACCGAGCCAAAGGGGTTAACAACTAATGGTTTCTGGATATTCTAAAAAATGCACACATTGAACTATTACATGTAGACTGTCGGCTCCTTGCCTCTCAGGCAGATGAACTTCAGCTTCAAACAAATCAATAGTAGACGCTTTGTGACACTTAAATTAGGCAGGAAGTGAGTCTTCATCCCTCACAATGGGACCCCTGAACCAACATTGGGAAAAGAAACACCTAGGGCTGAAGTAGCTACTGATTAAAGCATAAGTTTGTTATCTTCTGAGATAGTGTAACTTAGTTCACCACTGGTCGATAAATTGGCTAAATAAATCATCTAAGAGTTTACAAACATGGCTATAAAAGTGACTTGATTTAAACAACCTGATTGAATAAAATAGTCTCCAATATATTTGATAACATCTGAGCTGTTTTCTCCTAGATCCTTTGTCAGATAACATGAAAGCTTTGATGAAGGCTAGTGTGCAGTCAAAATTTCTGGGTGTATCATACGTCTTGATTGCAAATGATGGCGATAAGGAAGACAGTTTAGTGGAATTGTGCTCAGAATCATTGGCCACGTTAAAAATGAATCCCGATACGCCTGTCAAAACAGCTATTACTTGGACACCAGAGGGAAAGAGAAAGGGCACCTAATATCATTAAGACAGACGATGGAAAGTAAACTTGAGTGCTGCATTTTTGACACGGGAATACTGCATTGACGATTGCACAGAACCGTAAAGTCCTCTCTGAAGCCTCATGTACCACTAGGCATAAGAGCTTGAATGATAAGGTTGCAATGACAAACATCTTCATGTTTCCGACACCAAAAATCTTGGAACTTCTTGCTCTGAAATTAGTGGTTTATAGGTTTATGTTTGCAAGTGCTGAGAACCCTCGACACTTTCAATAGAACAATTTGTGCAGGTTTGTTGGAGATCATTGCGGCCAACCAGAAACCCTAACTGAATAATTTTGTTTTGTTGCATAAAATTCTGAAATTTATATTACCACTGAAGACTGGTAATATGGAAGTTTACTGCAAAGCACAGGCCTAAATAAAATCTAAATAACTATCATTACTTTTTAGAAAAAGTAGAACAGAAACCTTCAGATTAGAGTGTCAGCTTTCCATGTTAATGTTTTGTTTCATTGCTGATAAACCAAGTTTGTTTTTTGTATTATAGCATAGTCATAAGGTGAATGTTTGTCTTAACTTCTAGCATATTTTTAAAACAGGTTATGTTGACACACACAAAAACAGGTTATATAAATAGTTTTTATTGTATATAATAATTACAGAAACACGGTAATGATAAAACTAAAAATCATGTATGATTCACTGTCAATCGCTTAAACCATTCACATACATTATATGATAAGCAACTTAATCTTGAGATATAAAGTTTCAGGTCAAATACAGAAAAACTACTTGGATGAAAAGTCTCTAAAATCTGACCAAGTACAAAAGAGTCATGGGGACAAGGCTGAAGAGCAAGGGCAATGCTGAAATGGTGGTAGACACATTCTTCTCTGTTGTGCCAGATTGAGAAGTTGTCTCTTGAGTTGACCCTTTAGGTGTTGAGGACTGTGTTGCGTTACCTCCAGCGACTGAAAATATATCAGACAAATTAATGGGGAAATAACCTCATACAAACTGACAAAAACAAACAAGCACTTATTAGATGAAGCAAAGACAAACCAAAGCACAAGACAAACAAAGCAAAGACACAGACCAAAATGCATACATATCATTGTAGAAAAATAACATCCATGTATGGATATGTTGTCCCATTATAGGGGTGAAAAAGAATAGGCCGAACGTCTCTCTAATAAGCATGTCATAATAATCGGCTAATTAGGGAGTTTCCTTTGATGTTTGAGTTCCACATCTGCCTGAGAGACAAGGAATCAACAATCTGCATACAAATAATCCAGATATGTAAAACGGATTTGCATGCAACACTCAAGTTCTAGAAAGACAACAAACAAGAACACACCGCTATCGTCAGCTGATGAACATTTTTTTTAAATCTGACGAAGAAATATACATGATTTAAAAGGTGTAACCACGGAAAAAATCAGCATATTAGATAAAAACACACATAGTAAATGCTATAGATGCATTTTACGAATTATTGATTAAGAACACAAACTAATAAATATGTCAGAGACAAAATATACAGATTTGTAGGACATCAGAGCTTGGTTTAGACACGTGCTAAGACATGATTTGTTTGCAAAGACTTCAAGGAACATGGGTTACGGGGGTGGCGGTCAGAAAGAAGAGGGTAAAAAAGAACCTGGAATGACATCAAGAAACGAACAGGACTATGTTATACACTTATTCATCAAGCGGAAGACAGAAAGATGTTAGTCAACAGGGTTTAAATTTTGCAGGAATTATAAAAAAAAATGGACAAAGATATTTCAGATAGAAACAAGAAGAGTATGAAGTTAGCAAATTTTTATATAATTAATAAAACTAAGGTATGCTAAACCGTGATTTCTACAGAACTGAGAACAAAGGCTACATGAGACCATTTTCCAAAAACAAGCGTTTGGTTTGATCCCGAGAGAAGGATGTTATGGCAGCAACAGATACTGATTTCTCCTTGGCACAAGATCTAATATTTGTATTTGTGCACACTTGGGTAACCAATGACGATTTCCTATGCTGACAGCACATATGCCATAACATGAGACATTATACATGAATAAATGCTATCAGGGATATTTCAAAAATGAATTTATTCTGCTCTCAGTCTAACATACCAGTAGTCGAAGTTGCTCCAGTGGTGGTCGACTGAGTGTCTCCACGTGCTGTGCTAGTGGCCTCAGTTGTAACTGAAATTTAAAAAGAAAATGATTGATTAAATTATGTTTTCTCATACTGATGTAGATATTCAGAGTAGCTGATATTTTTAGGATTGAATTACCTCCAATGCTTATTATAACAGCTTAATGACACGCACACAAAACAAAATAGAGAGAAAAAGAGGGGGGGGGGGTAATTTTTAATTATAACCTTTGAAGTTACACAAGAATCGAGAAATGTCCTCAGATCAACATCCTAAATGTAGCTCATCAGGTCACTGCAGTATCCAGGTTTATAACTTCATGGTTGCATGAGATTTATGGGATTGATCTTGTTTTATTGCAATCAGTAGTTGCAGGGAGACCAGCAGGGTAGCAAGCAAAAGGTAAAAACATTTTTTTAAAAAAATTTTGAGACCCTGAATCAATTACAACCTAGAGGTGAACATAACATCTAATCAACCCCGCCCCCCTTTCCCTGGAAGTAAGTGTAGGGAGAATATGTAAGTGTTATTTAGGAATGGACACAACACCAGTTTCATTGCCAAAGTTACTTATCTTTAGCAAGCGTTCCGTTCCAATATATATTCCTTACGTCCTTTTCAGAACGTAATTTTTTGTTATTTGAAGCCCCACTCTGGCTTTTGCCAGGGGCCGCAATATAGGCAGACCATCAATGTGGCCAATTGTCTGAACGCGGTTTCTGGGACCTCTCCACGGTGATCCTCATCCACATGGTGGCACTTTTTGTCATCGGGTGTTTATCGCTTGTGTGATGTCCTAGTGGGGTAGAAAGTCAGTCAGTCAGCCAATTCCGATAGTACAAGCGTCTTCCCTGAATGTTTGGCGTCGGCCAGATCATCTTGTCACTCCCCACTGCACCATTCTCTTCAGACCGTCATGATCTGTTTGTGCCTCCACACTGTTTGCTGGCTCACAAAGGACCCTCGCAATATCTGACTTGTCATGCATCAATTTACCTGGAATATGTGAAGGCCTGCGCGGCGGAACCAGGAAGCTATGTCCGTTTAAAGCCCCCCCCCCCCCCCCACCCCCCTTCCCCGTTTTCTTTGCTGCGGCGCCTGTATAAAGGTTTCAATAATTTACAGCCCTGTGGCCAGTTGTTGCCTATAGGTCTACCTATGTTTGTTATTTTCACACCATCGTTGTTATCCTGGGAAGATACCAACCTGTTAACTGTATTATTGAACTTGTCAACCCATATTGTAACAATGGGACACTGTTGTGCACAATCATTTGATACCGCACAACATAGGCGTGTACAATTTTTATTACATCCAGTAGTTCTCAAAAAAGTTTGTCTGGCGACAACTTTGAGCTGCTCAAGAAATTGGTGAGCAACTAAACTAAGTTTTTAAACATCACTGGTCAACTTGCCCTGAAAGTACTTTATTCATCCAGTAAACGTTAATTATGAATGTGTTTTGCTGACGAAGCACGAGATTAGGGAAACGACGGACCTGCAGCTGACATGCGAGTTCATACAGGCAACCCACCTGATGGTCTGACGTGAGCTTACGAAACCGAACACAAAGAGGACACGGAACGTCACTACGTGCCTCCCCCCCCTCCCCACAAGAGTTCATAATCGCCAACTGAAGTAGGCGATTGTTGTTCTTGTTCACCAGCTGTACACTCTGGTGGAAGAGTAGAAAGTTCTGGTTGTTCGTCCACTTTTGGACTGCAGCCCTGCTCCAGAACCTGAGTGTTGCGTGTGCATCAGTTTTACAGATCTGATTCACTTGAATGCAGACTGTTAGCTCCTTGCCTCTCAGGCAGATGCACTCCGACTTCAAAGGAAGCTCCCCAATTAGTCGACTCTTACGACATGCTTTTGGGTAGGCAGAGAGTCTATTCTTGTTTTCCCCATGATGGAACCCCGGAACCCACACGGGAAGTAGGCGATTGTGTTTCTTCGTTCGTTGTTACTCATTATATGGCAGTAACACTAGCCAGTCATGCATGATGAGACGAATTTAGGTTTGCATGAGGCTACAGATACTTTAAAGCAAAACTTACGATGTAAGAAGTTAGGGTAATTATAGGTAGGTACCGAAAGAACTAAGGGCAGGACAGGAGAAACTGCCAAATCTAACACGCAGGTCGGCCCAGTTTAAAATAGGTACCTGGAAATTTTCAGGGACAGAAAGGTGACAGACGAAGTGTTGACCAAACCACCGATCGAGTGCCGAAAACTGACCTATTAAATATGGGTCTGAACATGCCCGACGCGCCAATGGGATACAAGGAAAAAAAATTTACTTTTAGGTCAGTTGACTTTCAAACAATTCAGAGCAAGGGCATAACACAATGTAACCTTTTCTAAATGCCCTAAGACATTGTTCTTGACAAGGTCTCCTTGCCGTCACCAATGGCCCGTGAACACGTTTTCAGAAGCACTGGCCAAAACACGCAGCCGAGAAATGGTAGGCGATGAATCGTAACAAAAACACGAAGTGGCCGATATGTCAGCGGACAAGTGGGCGAGTGAGATCAGACATGCCTAAGATTAATTCTCGTTACGACATGCTTGTGATTATGAAAATACTGTCGAATATTTCGCATTGCCGTTCTCGTTTATCGCGATTTTTTTTCGTGATCGTACGTCAGCTTGGTACCCTGGCAGTCCTATCTCGGACGAAAAACAACATGAAGACAAAGACGGCTATAACATCTTAAGATTAATTTGATTAAAACTAGCAGTTATTCTTAAATCCCTTTATTTTACTCGTTGGCCTCTTAGGCCTGGGCCTTGCGAACGCGCTTCGTAATGCCAGGGTGCTGAGTTAAATACCAGGTGCAGGCAATTTGGCAGCAGACCGTCTTGTGTTAGTTTAGACAGTGGTACTGAGAGATGACTGTTTAGAGCAATGGCAAACTTCTGAACGTAAAATGTGCACAGCAACAGCAAACCCACAGCAGCAGCAAAAAAAGATTACCTCGGCTGACTTTGCAACATTGTAATCAATTTTGTGATCCTCTGGTACTAGTGTTCGCATTTCACGATAAACAGTTTTTAAAAAAATGTCCTGTTGGGTTTCGGGACCCAAATGTTTGACGAAAAAAAAGGGGGCGGGGGTGGAAAGGCTATTAAAGAAATATGTCATACAATGTGACTATGATTTTCTTCTGAGTCGGAATGCATTTGCATGCGACAAGGAGCCAACAGTTCCCCATACAGATATGCTAGATCGGTAAAACAAGTTGTGGAATAAGAAAGTTAGGAGGTAAACAACCAACATAATTCCATGGAGTTAACAGTCCATGAACGCTAACAAGAAGAGAAAGTTCTCGTTGAAGTTTTCCGACACTGGGAGATGGTCGCGCCCTGGAAGAGGTCGGACCTCAGAGTAGGAAAATGCCACATACCTTGACTATTTTTAATTTAATTTTTTTTTGTTTCATATATGCCACGGGCGCTCAGATTACCCCTCTCAACATATTCATTTGCGTCGCGCGGTTGATAGTTCCAGTCCTGTGCTGGTTGACAAGACTTCCGTGTACGTCTCGTGCTTGGCTGTGCAGATCTTTACTCCAAATTCGCGTGTTCTTAGCAGTGATGTGGACACGTTGCTTCCAAAATCCTCAGGACGTCATGGTTCTTGCAATAACGGTCGCTTCCTCGGAGTTCAGTCCCCTGGATGTAGTGCAATTACGGAGTGGACAAGGCACGAAACAAAGTCAGGTCAACATGCTCGTTCCGGGCGAGACATGATCAGCTGTTATGCGCGGTTTAATGTTCGCGCATGTGGCCTCAGGACAACGTCAAACCAGCAGCTGCTAGGATGGCGCTGGTACATCCGACAGACGAAGTAGCTCCTGTAAATTGTTTATATTTTTTCCGGCGACTATAGTGCAACCTCCGAGTGTATCCCCGCGCCGCGCATAGCGGCGCGGAAGGGGCTAAACTAGATGGTTAGGACTCACGAGCAGCAGCTACCGCAGTTCCTGCAGCTTCCTCCAATGTATTTGCTCGTGAGTCCTAGCCACATCTAGTTTAGCACTATAGTCGCCGGAAAAAAATCAACAATTTACAGAAGCTACTTCTGTCGGAAGTACCAGCGCCATCCTGGCTGCTGGTTTGATGTCCTGAGGCCACCGCGCATTACAGCTGATCATGTCTCGCCCGGAACGAGCATGTTGAACTGACTTTGTTAGCTCTCTTCACGGCACGCCTGAAAGTATCCTTTGCCCTAGCCAACTCTCCGGCCCCATGTGCTTTTAATGCCAATGCATCTTTAATGTCCTGTATTTAACTTGACTGCACAGAGGTCGACCCCCGCCTCGCCCTCCACAAAATGCACCCTCCGTCACAATTTTACAAGCCACCATGACGTTTGATGTGGTCAAAATAGTTAAACTTTCGGGACAGTACAGGGTGCTGTTTATGAGCCAGTCCTCCTTGATGTTTAACTCATGTAGAATTCGACTGTATATTACAATTAATTTAAACAGCAAATATAACTATTTATGGCAAATCAACTTCACACTGAGATATTAGACCTCTATCATACTCTATACTTGTGGGCCTCCGTAGAAGTGCCAAAAGGGCTCCAATGACTTAAGATTTACTCTATATGGAAATTTAGAAGAATCTACACTCTAATCACAAAATAAATGAAACAAACAAAATTATTATAAAGAAAAGATTTTTTTAAATCTTACCATCGGTTGTTGTGGTTTGAGACTGGCAAAGAATCGTACAGCAGCTGACAAAAAGACAGCAGATGGCAAACAGTTTCATGTCCATGATTAAGCTGGTTGTCTGGGCTGAGAGAACAGGGAGGAGGTCAACGTCCACGTTGTAAATACCAAAGCAGAAATGGGCACTTTCACCGTGAGTTGTGCCTATAAGATATCTGTAGTTTCGGGTCTAGACTCTTCGATTGGTTGATTGCCTCCGGTCCAGACTGAATAGGCCAATAAGCTGCGGTGTCTCAATTGTCCGGATTTCACTTGAAGCCGGGTGGTGGGGTTGGTTGTTCCGATACATGGCGTGGTTAGTGTGG